CTGACAGACCGCCCTACAGAACCATTGCTAAATCCATTCCACTTATCTCCCATCTGACTACTCAACTTATGATAACTCGAGGTTCCCACTAGAAGATAGAGCACATACCAAATATCCTTGTAGAACACTTATACTTAATAGAAGGCTTAGATAATCCTGAGAGTAGGAGACTTATCCCTGCAACGGTCAGACTCAGACGAGAACTGCTAAATAGGGTCAAATCATTTACTCTGAGATTATCTACTAACAACTGTAAGTGAGCTAACGTTTCCTACGAATAACAAGCTACTCCACAAATAAGTTCTAAATCAATAAGACTGCCCGGACTTATCTAGATGCCCTTCACCAATAAAACCAATCCAAGACACAATCACGAGAGATTCATCTATAATCAAAATTGAATCCATTCATTACCCTTGAACCCTTCGACTGATGCCATCGGTATATAGATACCCCAATCCTTACCTCACTGAAAAGAAATTTTTCATATCACATTTTCGACTCCCAACTCACGATCTCAACCAAAACCAACCTAATTCTTAACTCATAAACCAAGATCTACAAATATGCACTTATGTTTCACCCAAAAATTACCGATTGACGACAACCCTTACTAGACTGAGATATCAAGATTCCCAACCATTGTTGAGACTACCAGTTTTGCACCTGGTCTCACCACCAGGTTCCCAAATCACGGGCTACCCAGCCTACAAACCCCTATGCGTCACACAATAACCACCCACTTAATGCTACAACTCAAGATCCCAAAACCTTAACCCAACAGTCTCTACCAGGTCCCACTGATATTGTCATAATTACACGGGCCTCACCCATGGTTCCCACCCAACTAAATCACGGGGCAGAGTTGCTTACGGGTCACACCTGCCTAGAGCTACACAGGCCCAACTCCATGTTGGATCGCATTGGTCCTCAACCCATAACAGAGAAACAATTCTTATCAATCCTGTTTGGCATGCCCAAGGCATAAACTGATTTCCCTTTTACACTCATGACCACTTCCAATGAGTGCTTACGTCAGAGTAATGAATGTAAAATCCAATCATAGTCTTACAATACTTCAACCCAAACATGGTTACCACCCATGACCTAACCACACCACACTCACCCTCAACCGAAACCTGCATCCAATCAGGTGTTCAGATCGTAGATCAAATTTTAAGGCCCACAGCCTGGACTCAAACACAAGCCTTCTATGCATAATACAGAAGATGCCAACCAGTGGTTGGAAGTTTTTTCAACTCCCACTTACACAACCTCAATTTAAACGGCCTGTTGAGTTGTCTCTCCTCCTGGCCAGGATGTAAATCTTGCCCTAGTTCACACCTTTCCTGACATCCGAAAAACCTGATTGATTCCCCCTGGAGTCGACGAAGCTTTCTAATTCCTTAAATCTAATTGAATCCCAAGCCATCTACCTTATGTAGCAAGAATCGCATATCACCTTCGGTTATCAACACTAACACTCTATTGTTAGCCAAATTCAATGATCACCCAATTCCTGAAATCCTAAAGAATACTCTTGAAACCTTACCCAGTCTGATAACCCAAATCACTTCCCATGATACCATACCAAATCCTTAAGTTCTTAAAATAGCGACTAAAACCACAACCCTTACCATGTATTGACAAATCTATTGGTTTAAGGTGTCTAAGCCAATAACTAAATTGGTATATTCTTGAATTAGAAGCGAAGTCCTTTTTGGGTTGCCCTCAAAACTAGTAACTAATTAGAATGAAAGTTGGAGATAGAGTATAATTTGTTAGTTTATTATAGAAATAATATACTCATTGGATATTGAAATATATGATTCATTATATTTTATATGATTAATATATTAATTGGAAATAGTTATGATTAATTGATTAATTAGAGTTCATTTGGATTTGATTCTAAAATTAATTAGCATTAATCATTCAAAGGACTCTTTAGTTTCCAATGAAGTTTCCTTGAGCAAGTATAAATAGGACACCATGGATGCCATATTTTCCATACACATGTACTTGCTTTCATAGAGCCGAATATATGCTCTAGTCTTCTCTCTGCTTAAGTATTCTTTCTACTAGAGTTTTAGGTACAAGCTATTAGAGGCGTCCATTTATTTGGTTCTAGCTTTCCAAGATCTAAAAGAAGGATTATACTTTGACTATTCTCAATAATAATCAAAAGGTATGCAACCCAAATTTTATGTATGAATTTAGATTTCATAGCCTCTCTCCTTGGGTTTTCTTGATATTCATAGTTAGTTGTTATCAATAGAGAAAACATAGATCCTTTCTAGGTTGCATGTGAACTTAAGTGTTCAAGTGTTTTTCTGCCACATGTAACTTTCCTTTATAACCTAGAAAAACCCATCAGTTGTTTCAGAGCCATAGGTTTTCTATTTGATGATGCACTGAAATGAATTGATTAAAAGAAGTACCAGGGACTAGAATTAATTTTGAATTATTTAAATTAATTGTTTAATTTGTAAATAATCATTTAATCCATGAAATTAAAATTATTTAATTAATTTTTTAATTGGTAAATAATAAGATTTAAATTTATTTAATTAATTGTTTAATTAAGATAAAAGATTAAGTCATTATTTACTTTAAAATAAATAATTATTAATTGTTTAATTCGAAAAAAATTAATTTTAAACCCTTGTATTTTAAAAGGTTTAAAATGCACCTTATACGATATATATATATATATATATATATATATATATATATATATATATATATATATATATATATATATATATATATATATATATATATATATGATTAAAAGTTAAATATATTATATGTATAAGATAAATCAGCAAATCGCTAGTACATCTGATTTATGATGCCATATTCTAAGGGGGGGTTTGAAGAAAGCGACCTATAAAATGACCGTTAATTGGGTGTCCACTCTCACCCACCGGTCCCTTGTATGGTTGAGGGATGTTGGCCGAACGAATTTGATAGGACATAACCTCTTAAAAATATGATACTATAAATTAACTAAACCTTTTATAAATACCACTCTAGTTACTTTAGGGAAAAAGTGAAATCTTATGCTATTCCATGAAAACGCACATTGTTTCCTTATGAGTCATTAGTGGAGCATGTGTGGTTAACCGACACATTAATGCGAGATCATAAATAGACGGAGGGTGTTTGAGTAGGTTTGCATGGTTATTTACATCTTCATTGTGATCCTTAGAATCCCAGTCACAATTGGTAAGAGCATAATCGAGATTAAACATGCCATTGAGCAGATTCAATGAATCTCAAAAGATGTAGGAGTTTCATGTGATTGAAATTGGTGAGATGACTCTACCTACCTAAAATACATTCGAATTTGATTGTGGCATTCCTCTTCAAAGGTCGAATTGAAAATATGGATCATAACCTTAATTTAATTATGGGTTAATAATTAAGGATTAAAATCAACTAACTAGAATTCTCTCTTATCCAAAATATTAGATGTCAATTCAACATAATAATGGTCTTCCTCGTTCTAGAATTAGTTTTCCTCAATCTTCTGGAGATGATCTTCCACCTTCAAGCCAATGTGAAAATGTATTCCCTTCCTTAGGAAATGGTGGAACTAGACATTGTCTCTTTTCAACTCTTGTACCTCCTCCTCTACTCCTCATGTGACTCTCCCAACGTCACGAGTTGAAAGATATGAAACAAATCAAGCTCTTTTGGCATGTAAACATGAAGATGGAAATTTTGTGTCTGCACACGTTCTTAAAATAAAGTTGTACATTGACAAATTGGATAGGATGGTGTCGTATTTCCAAGGGAGCAAGCCATTGTTTTGGTTCTTATCTTGCTTCCTAAGTCGTTTGGTCAATTCGTTGAGAACTTTCTTATGAGGAATCTCGATGTGACCCTAATAGTTCTGACCCAAATGTTGGGGGTTATTGAGGCAGAAATGCTTAAGAGCACATCTAAAACATAGATTCTTATAGGGTCAAATTCCAAGGGTTCCATGGACATTGGCAATGGTGACATTGGTGATCTATAAAAGAATTCTCTTCCTAATGGAAAGGGGTCGTCTAAGCTCAAATCGTTTGATCGTATGGTTAAGAGAAAGGCTTATTCTAGGATCAATCCATGTGTTCAACCCAAAGAGTCCATTTGCTTTTATTTCCAATTCAAGGGACACTGATTACGAAATTTCAAAAATTCAAAAATTAAATTCTACTTAACCTAAACCTAAACCTAACAACTTAAATCTTCAATCTTGAACTTCTTTTATTTGGTCTTAAGTCTTCTTTGATGCTTGATCTTTTGCCTTTCTTTTTTGAACTAGAGGTCTTGAACTTCGATTCTTGTTCTTCTTTTGTGTTGCTTCTTTTTCTTCATTTTTCTTGTCTTTGTTTTTGTTCCTTTTCTTGAATCTTCTTCATTGTCTCTTCATGTCTACGGATTTCCAAATTCTTCATTTTTTTGTGTTTTCTTCTTGGAAGTTCTAATAAATTTCACAATGTAACATAAGACTCCAATAGTGAGAATGGAGTAATAGATATAGGCTAAGATGAACACCTAATGATCATTGACAATGTGTCAAGATCTACTAAAAAGGGTGGGATATGACTCAAAAATGGGTGTTACCGAAGAAAAAATTGGTCCCAAAAGATGTGAATTGGGTGACCCACTTTGAAGTTCATCAACCACCCCAATGCAAGGTGTAATAAACAAAATCTATCTGTCTACTCTAGACCCCTATAAAAATGATGTCCTTATAAAAATGATGTCCTATCTTAAAAAAGGTGGTGACAATCTAGCTAAGTAAGGCTCGGACGAGACTCGGGAGTACTAAGGGATACTCCCCCCAACCACATCCATCCACATCTAGACCAACCACATCCATCCACACAAGCTATCTGCATCTGACCCCCACACAAGCAGTCTCAAAGTGGTATGTGAGGCTCAAAGCATATCCCATTTGTCCAATACAAGGAATTCCATATCAAGAACCGGGACCAATCTATGATTCAATACTTATGACTCGGTGCTATGGTACCTGTAGAGATGAGAAGACAAGAGAGAACAAAAATACATGAACTTAAACTAGACTGCATCTAAAAAGTAAGAAAAATAGAAAAGAATGAAACAAAATATGCAATATTTTTGAAACTTTTATGCAATTTTTATGAATGACCTAAATGACTTACTCTAAATGCAACAATATACAACCTAAGATCCTCCATGTAGTTGTTGACGCGAGCTTGCTGCTCCTCGATGTGTCGAATTACTGGTGTATGCCGATTGCCCTGGAGGCGCAATGAAGCAAGCAAACTGTAGATATCAAGAGGGAACTTGGGCTCGGGCTCATTGTGTTGTGGATAGGAGTGGTACTCATGTTGTGGCTCGAAGTGTGCTCCTAAGGGCTGACCATAAATGGGTGGTGGTAGTTGTCGGATTGGGAGGTCAAAATGGTCTTCGGCCTCAAATGGGCTATCAGCATTACCAGTGTCCATCTGCATGTCATCAACATCTTCATCATGTCACTCTTCAGGCAAGAACCAAGTTTCGGGGTCATTGGTGGTGAAGGCAGATATGCTTATATTAGGTAAGGTGTAAACTGGTTCCTTGACATGATTGAGCCAAGTGTAATGGCCATCCGGATAAGAACTAAACAGTCGAGGAGGTAAAGAGGTGGGTCATCCACTGGCACATACTCAGACTCGGCAAATTGAACGCCCACACCCAAACCAATTAGGGTAATGAGACCTCCAATGCAAATCTCGCCAGTGGTATTCATGTGGATGATGTCACATTTGTTCAAGAAAAAGGTGGTGAAACCAGGGGAAGACCAACAACGGCTAGTTGTGCAATAGAGTAAATATAACTCGAATGTGTTTATTTGTCCCGGCTTGTGACGATCAAAGATGGAAGTTAAAAGGATCCAGCGGGCGATTCTCCAACATGGATGGATGATGTAAGGATCTTTTTGTCAACTTAGATTGAAGTACGGGAGGCTGGTGATTTGAGTCCAAAACTCTACTTTGGGCAAGCTTTTGAACTGAGTCTATTGGTAACTATAGATGTTGGTGTTGTACATATCGTATGTGCCCATGATAATGTTGAGGGTGTCATATGTGATTCGGTGTTGCCGGTTGTGTAGTCTAAATGTGAGCACCTCTGTCGTGTCATCTCGTGCATAAGTGGAGAGGAACTCAAGTGTGGGTTGCTTGTATGTACGCACGAAAAGAGCTAGGTACTTGTGTCAACCTATGTTGAAGAATATTTGTTGCAAGAAATCATCAAGTCCAAGGTGCAAAATTGACTCCTAGTGGTTAAATTTGGTCGCTCAGATTGCACGTTTTTGGAGGTTGGACTTGAATTGCCTGATTTGTGAACTAGTGAGGACAAGGTTTTCATCAAGATCAACATGTTCAGTTGATACTTTTTTTTGGTGGGCGCGATGTTTGAGCTTCATGGGAAGAACCATGAGATGCGTGAATGGTTTTTTTCTTTCCCATTGCACCTGTTAATATAGACTAGTAAAGACAAAAACTTGGGCAAAATTAACTCTCACACGCGCCTCACACCAATCCAATCAATCCAAATAACAATAAAAATCGGGCAAATACTCCAAACTTTGGCTCGATTCAATACAATATAATCCAATCAATTCAAAGCAAATCAAGTCTAATTAAGCTAATGCATAACATAAGTCTACTCCAATTATAAATTGAATGCAATAAAATGAAAAAGAATGTACCAAATTCAAGTGTCAAAACTCAAAAAGAAAACCGCAAATACCGCACCCCAAGCTTGAATTTGACCCACAAGGTTGAATCTTTTGAATCTCCGGTGAGAAACAAGAATTTTGAAAATTTTGGTTAAAATGAATGGTGGTGGCCGACGGGGAAGCTAGGTTTTTCGGCAAGCTGGTTTTCCCAAATTAACAGTAGATCGGCGTGTGCGGGTGTTTTTGTTGAAGAATGCCCCAAGAAAAATTAGAATTTGATGGAAGGTGGTGGCGGTATTGGGTGTTTACGTTTTTCCAACAAGGTGGAGAGGTGACGGCGATTTTGTTGAATACCGGTGGTAAAAGGTTGAAGGGTGATCGGAAATGGGTGGAGGTTAGGGTGGTAAGGAAGCACCGACAATTGCAGCAAGTTGGAAGGTGGGGGTTGTTGTGCTCGTTTTTCCGACGATGAAGGGAGGTGTGAAAGCGGTTGTAATATCAACTGAAGAAGGGAGGTGGCGAAAATTGGACAGCACCAACCGGTGGTGACGACGGGAGGTAGCTGGAGCAGCGGCAGCAGAGGGTTGGTCGGAAATCGTTGGGCTGGAGATCGGAAGCGGCGACAGTGTTCTTGGTCGTTGGGTGTGTTGTAGATGGGAGTGAAAAAGGCGGGGGGGGGGGGGGGGGGGAAGGGTCCGACGGGTTAAGAATATATAAGTTTGGGTGGTAAATGTGGGTTGGGTACTGGTAGGATAATGGATTTGGTCGGGGTAGGAATGAAGATGGAGCGGGTTATCGAGTGGGGAAGTTTGGATATGGGAATTATGGCTGGTCTCGCAAGGGATATGGATTTTTTTTTCTTATCCACACAAGAAGTTGAGATGGTGGAGTTAGGATGTGTGCACTAATCAGAGTTAACTCCATGTGGGGGTAATTTGGATCTTGGAAGTTGCGTGGTTGGGAGTGGGTCGCATAATGGCTGTGCCGGGGCACGTGCAATTTGCATATTATTGGCATTTTTTCTCAAACTTTACGAAGACCATTTATAGGCTTCAATATGCTTATTTTTTGACTAACTTCAAGCTTAGAAACACCCACAACTTCAAGCGGAGATTATTTATTTACAATGCATTTATTTAACGTCTTTTTCAAGACGTAGTCCCGCTTCCATCAACCTTCGTAAATCGGAGGTTCCAATGTGACGTTGTCGAATTCTCCCATGTCAAAGACTTCATAAAAAGGATTTAAGCGATGCCCATTTAATTTAAATATTTTATTTGTTTCCAAACTCTTAATTTCAACTGCATCGTGCTCAAACACATTTATAAAAATAAAAGGTTTGTGCCATCGAGATCGCAACTTTCTCGGGAATAGCTTTCAGCGTGAATGATAAAGATGAACTTTTTGGCTCAGAATAAAATGTTTTCGACTGATGTGCTTGTCTTGAAACGTTTTACCTTTTTGTTTGTAGATGCTTGCATTTTCATAAGACTCATTCCTCAACTTGTTGATATCTTGAAGTTGCATCTTTCGGTGCTTCCCGGTTTCTTCAATATTGAAGTTACACTTTTTAACCACCCAATATACCTTACGTTCCAATGCCACCGATAAATGACAAGAATTTCCATAGATGAGGTGAAATGGAGACATGCCCATTGGAGTTTTGTAGGCGGTTCGATATGCCCACAATGCATCTTTTAACTTCAAGCTCCAATCCTTTTGTGTGGTGTTGACCTTCTTTTCAAGAATTTGTTTGACTTCTCGATTTAACACTTCGTATTGGCCGTTTGTTTATGGATAATAAGCGGTCGATATTCGGTGTGTAACACCATATCTCTTCATCATGGGTTCCATCATTTTATTGCAAAAATGTGTGCCTACACCATATCTTGCGAAAATGTTTGACTTCAAGAAGTCAGTTACAGCTTTAGAATCATCATGCCTTGTAGCCTTTTCTTCAACCCACTTTGAGACTTAGTCAATCATCAAGAGAATATAAGTATAACCAAAAGAAATGGGGAATGAGCCCATAAAGTCGATTCCCCATACATCAAAGATCTCACAAATAAGGATAGGGCTCGGAATAATTTCATGTTTCATGGATATGGTTCCCATTCTCTGAAATCTATCACAACTCTTGCAAAATAGATAAGTATCTCTTGAAATTGTTGGCCAATAGAGTGCACATTCTACCACCTTTCGCATGGTTTTGTTTGGACCAAAATGTCCTCCGCATTCACACTCATGGAAAAACTTCAAAATTGACTCGACCTCATTTTGATGAACACACCTCCGTATTAGTTGATTCGAACAATGTTTCCAAAGATAAGGGTCGTCCCACACATAGTATTTGGAATCACTCTTCAACTTGGCTTTTTGGTACTTGGTAAATACATGGGGAATTTCTTTAGAAACCAAGTAATTCACAATATCCACATACCAAGGAATGGTGTTTGAAATGTAGAAGAGGTGTTAATCCGGAAATTCATCAAGAATGGAAGAAGATGAGCCACCAATAGTCAACCAACTTAAGTGATCCACAACTAGGTTTTTCGCACCACTTTTATCCTTTATCTCAAGATCGAATTCTTGTAAAAGATGAATCCACTTAATTAACCGTGACTTGCCATCTTTCTAGGTCATTAAATAATTAAAGGCTGGATGGTCGTACTATACAATCACTTTCATTCCGAGAAGGTATTGCTGGAATTTCTCCAAGGAGAAAACAATGGCTAGAAGTTTCTTCTCGGTAATGGAATAATTGTCTTGAGCATTATCCAAGGTTTTGTAGGCATACTAGATAGCATGTGATGCTTTTCCCTCCTTTTGACCTAAGACCTCTCCAATAGAAAAATTACTTGCATTACACATAATTTCAAAAGGAAGCTCCCAATTTGGAGATTGGATTATTGGAGCGGAGGTAAGCAAGTCTTTAAGTTTGTGAAAGGCCTCTTGGCATGCTATATTGAAGTCAAAATCAACGTCCTTTTGGAGAAGGAGGCAAATTGCTCGCGTGATCTTCGAGAAATCATTGATAAATCTTTTATAGAATCCCGCACGGCCCATGAAGGATCTCACTTCTCTTACACTTGTTAGGTAAGGAAGGGTTTGTATGACATCAATTTTGGCTTTATTAACTTCAATTCTCTTTTTGGAGACGTTGTGTCCCAAGATGATGCCTTGATTGACCATGAAGTGTCATTGCTCAAAGTTTAACACCAACTTCTTCTCAATGCACCTTTTCAAAATGTTATTAAGGTTATCAAAGCATTTATCAAATGAATTGCCATACACGATGAATTCATCCATAAACACTTCAATTACATTCTCAACGTACTCGGCGAAGATTCTCACCATACATAGTTGGAATGTGACGGGGGCATTACATAATCCAAATGGCATCCTCTTATAGGGAAACATGTCGAAAGGGAATATAAAACTCCTATTGTCTTGATCTTCGGGAGCAACGGGTATTTGATGAAAACCCGAGTGTCCATCGAAGAAACAATAATGCGACTTCCCCGCCAATCGCTCGGGAATTTGGTCGATGAAAGGAAGAGGAAATGATATTTTCGTGTGCATGAATTCAACTTTCTGTAATCAATGCACACCCTCTATCCATTTTGAACTCGGGTGCGTACCATTACTCCTTTGTTATTCGCAATAACTGTGATTCCCGTTTTCTTAGGAACCACTTGAACCGGACTAACCCATTTGGAGTCAGAAATGGGGTAAATGATGTTCGCATCAAGGAGCTTGATTATCTCTTTCTTAACCACTTCCATCATT